AAAAATTTGACACAGTACCACTAGCACCTAGCACCAGGGTGTACATTAACAATACTTTCTAAAGTTGGATTTAAATTCAAAGATTTGAAGTCTGAACTGTGCTTCTTAACAAAGTCTCTGACTTGCAAATAACGGAAAAAAATTAGCAGGAACAAGAGCATAGTATTGTTTTAGTTGTTCAAAAGAACTAAATGTACCTTCCCTATAAAGATCTTGTATTGTTACTATACCCATATGTTTCCATTGAAAAAAGATCCTATCATGTAACCCCGGAGGAAAAGCATGATTATTACAGATCCAAATATAAATCTGGAATTTTCAAATATACCTTGATTTGTTTCCATACTTTAATTAGGTTTGAAATAACTATGTTACCATGAATATTTTTGACTTCAATTTTGATGGGACTCTTAAGCAGAGCTGTTAATGAATTCTTATAACAAGAAGCTTCTTCAATTGCTAACCATTCTGGCTTGTCACCTAACTCCACTGAACCAATCTTCCTCCACCACGCTAAAGTATTTATGTTAGCTGCCCAATAATAAAATGTAAAATTGAGAAGCCCAAACCCTCCTTGATCTCTAGATTTGTTTAGATGTTTCTTGTTAATCCTAGCTATCTTCTTGTCCCAAATGAAGCTGCTTATAATAGATTCTAGCTGTTTAAAATAATTAAGGGGAATTAAGAAAGGAATAGATTGAAATACATACAAAACTCTTGAAAGTACCACCATTTTTATAGCGTTAATCCTGCCTACCATGGACATAGGGAAGCTGATCAATATTCTTTTTCCAATTCAATTTTAATAACATTTCAGGTTTTTTGGTGATTATTACACCTAAATATTTAAAGGAGAGATTTGCACTTTTAAATTTAGTGCTAGATAAATATTTTTGATCTAAATCATCAAGAGACTAGCATTAATTCACTTTTTTTCCCAAATTATTGTGAATCCAGAAAGACTGCCAAATGTTTCAATAAGCTCAAGTAATGGTGGAATAGGCATTTCAGGGTCGGAAACATACAGGAGAATATCAGCCGCATACAACGAAAGATGTTGGGGTCTGCCCTCTATCACTATAGGTGCTATGTTAGGATGGTGTCTGATACTGGCTGCTAATGGTTCCATTGAGATATCAAACATTAAAAAAAGGAGACAAAGAGCATCCCTGACGTGTACCTCGAGATAACTGAAATGGATTTGAAATGTTTTGGTTGCTAATAACAGAAGCTACTGGATGTGCATAAATTATTTCAATCCATTTAATAAATTCTGAACCGAATCCAAATTTCTTTAGAACAGCAATCATGTATTTCCACTCTAATTGTTTGAAGGCTCGTTGAGCATCTAATGAGATAACACATGTCTTTATATTTTCCTTGTTATAAATTATGTTAAACAGCCGTCTCAAATTAAAATATATATGTCTCTTTGGCATAAAACCAGTCTGGTCCTGATGAATTATAGAACAGATGTACTTTGTCAATCTATTCACAAGAATTTTTGTTATAATCTCAGATTCAGTGGAAATGAGAGAGATCGGGCGAAAGGAAGACATCTGCAGCTTGTCCCGCCCCGGGTTTGGAATTAATACTATACTCGCTTCATACATCATTGGTGGAAATTTATTTTGTGTTGTTGCACTTTTAATCAGTCTTTGAATTATAGGTACAAGATTATTCCTGATTTTTTTATAGAATTCGGCACTAAAGCTGTCCGGACCCACAGATTTGTTATTAGGTAACTGTTCTATTACTTCATTTATTTCTTCTAGTGTAATTTCTTTATCTAAGGATTGTTTTGCATCAGTGCTAAGAATGGGAAGATCCAATTGAGAAAAACAATTATTCTATTGCCTCTTGGCTCGTTTTACATTTTGATTCATAGACTTCTTTATAGAAATCAGCAAAGCAACGATTAATTTCCTTGGGGGTCAACAATTATCTGCCCATTATTCAATTTTATTTTATGTATTGCACGAGTTGCCTGAGAGTCATTCGCAATTTGTATATATGTTTTTAAATAGCAGAAGTGTACCACTGCCCTTAAAGTCTAAACAACATTCTTATGGTAAAGCAACTATATACAGACATTTTATGCACATACAGAGATGCAAACTTGTCACCTTTTGATAAAAATAGACATTTTGAATCCAAAATATGTCATTTATGTAGATCTGATGGGGGAGCATTATTACTATTAGTATTATCACTATTCAATAATACTGAATAGTATTATTACTACAGTACAAATTTTATTGGTTTATTTAATACGTTTATAATAATAAAAAATTATAATAATAATAATGAAAAAAAAAAAACAATAATGTGAATGTGCATGGCCTTAAAAGAAAAAAAAAATCCATTCTATGGTGAGATTTTCCCTATATCTTCATGCTAAAATTGACTGTAAATCCGCATTTGAAACTGATATTTAAAAAAAAATTGGGAGTCATGAATTTGCATCCCTGATGGGCATTTATGATAGTTAACTATTAAAAATGAACTGCATCGGAATCTAATATTATAGGGCATATTAATCAACTAAATAATGAAAATGAGGAGCGTTATTCTTTTTAAATTAATACATTGCTTATAGTTTAAATGATATAGCTATAGCCCATTTAGTTATCAGTCTAAGTTGAATGTACAGAGCATGATGTAAGTTTGTGTATTGATACTGCTCAATCTACGGTCCCTCTCCTGTTACCATAGCAACCACCTTCTCAGCATCAGCACCCATATCGTCAATAGCAGTGTTGAGTGCCTGCAGCATAACGGTGAAAGATCGACTGACGGATCTGGTGTGTCTCGGCATGGCTAGTTCCACAAGTCTGGTGGTTGCTGTGCTGGTGTCTTTCTCGACTTGCGCGAGTCGTCTTTTAACTTCGCTCTTGCTGACCTCCACAGAGAGAGCACAGGTCCGCAGGGCCTTCAGCCTGGCTGGGTCGAGACCCCGCTGCCTCGCCAGCCGCTGCAGAGACTCGTCGTCCAGGCAAAGTGAGATCTGAGCCTTGTTCAGAATCCGTATGGCCACCGTAGCGTCCACCATGGAGGCCACCAAAGGTACGGGAATGGCAGAAACGCCACCGGATAATGAGGCAGCGGCCCACACCAGTGCCTTAAAGGCATCTTTCTTCTGAGTGACCAAGGAGTTGGAGAATGTAGGAAGTGCTAGAAGAAGAGCATGCGATCTGATCTCTGGAAGGTCACATCGCATGACCTCTAAAAACTTCAGAAAGTCCAGCTTCTCCAAAGCTGAAGGTTGTACCAGAAACACCTTGGGCAGAGGAACACCTTCTGCCTTGAGCACTTCTAAGCTTGCCGTCTTCTTCGCCTCCAATGTTTTCTCAGTATCCTTCATAGATGATAGTAAGATGAAGTAAACCGTCTCTTTCTGCAGCGACCTCACTTCCCTCCACACCGCCACACTGTTAACACTAGGTTTCTCTGTGAATGTGAAAATGATGGAGTTGTATCTCATAACTTTGAAACGCTCTACATAATCCTCAGCCTCAAAAGAAGCATTGCTAGAGATGGATGGCAGATCCCAAAGGCGAAAGTCAGGATGCTTTGGATTCGGGAATACGGCTAGATCTTCTGGGGCAGAGGATGATGGAGTACGGGCTGCGGTTTCATCTTCTTGGCTCAGACCTCGAAGTGAATTTATAAAAGTAGCTTTTTCTGCATTTCTGTCCCCAATGATCGCAATGTTGATTCTGCTGATCAGCATGTCCTCCATTGCATCTCTTATATCCGAAATGTTGTTCTTTTCAATAGACTCCTTTAGTGTTTCCAGCAGGTTAAGACTCCTCAACACATCAGCCATGTCTGGTAGGTGATAACTAATCTACAAATACAAAGACACATCATTTACAGTGTTTGAAAGCAGAGTTGGGGTTATGTGTGTTTCAGACATTTGGAGTCTGTAAGATTTTATACTTTTATTCAGCAAAGACACATTAAATTGATCAAAAGTGACAGTGAAGTTTTTATAGTATTACAAAAGTTTACATTTCAAATAAATGCTGTTCTTTTGAACTTCCAATTCACCAAAAATCCCGAAGACAAAAAAAGGATTCTGAAGGATTATGTGATGAAGACTGGATGTGATGAAACTCAGCTTTGCATCACAGAAATAAATTACATTTTAAAATATATTCAAATAGAAAATAGTTCATTTGAAATTGTAATAATATTTCACAGTTTTTACTGTATATTTGATCAAACAAATGTTAGAGACATAAAATACTTTTTTTCATAACATAAAAAAATCTTACAGACCCCTAACTTTTTAATGGTACTGTAGCTTTTTTTTTTTTTTTTAAGTAATGAATAAAGTAACAAATTCATTTATTTATTTATTTTTTTACAATTCTATTGCAAATCATTAACAAAATATTTTACTATTTTATTTAAGGTATTTTCTCATTTGACAACAAAGACAGACAATTTATTTGAAATAAATGTTATTTATTTACTGATGTTTTTCCAGAGTCATAATAGTTGCATTTAAACATTACATATTGCAGTCAAATGCATGTTTAGAGCAATAAATACATTTTGAATTTAAAAACCAGCATGCCAAGCATAATGAAATAAGAAGAAATAATAGCAAACTGAAGTGAGAATAAGTTACATGCGAACACATTTCTTTCCATAAATAGTAGCAATGAACCTTAATTAGTTACTATAAGTAGGAGTAATGCATTAATGAGTAGCCTATAATAAAAAACAGCTTTGAAGTGGTTTTCGGTGCATCCATTCTAACACATACCTTATTTCAGATCAGAATGACAGCTAGTGTGGTGGACCACAGAAAAATGGTTGAAAATATCAAACCACACCAAGACAACCAAGACACTGACACTCTCACAGGTTATTTAAGGATTCCCTGTAGTGTGTGGAACATTCTAATCCTGTTATCTAAGGCCTAATGCTGCTCACACACACGTCACCCCAGAGGAGCAACGAGCAGGTGTGCTGATTTACAGTTCTTGAGGAATCAGCTAATATCAAAACATACACACCTTTTAGACAAATCTAAAGAATGTGAATTACTTTTCAGCGTTAGACCAACATCCCCCAAACGTCTGAACATACGATGCCATATTGAACAGTGTTGATGATCTGTTAAAAGGTTTGTGAGTTCCTGGCATGCATTGCATTATGACTAAATCACGCCTTTACTGTTTTAGGCCTGTTATTTATTTTTGCTGTTTGTTGACTTTATTCATGCTGTTGGTGTTGCTTGTGTCTTCACAGTTAATTATTTGTTGTGTGACAATGCTGATCTGTTTCTCCATTATTCAGGTTTGTGGCTTAAGTGTAAAAACCTAGGTGTGATTCTGTGAAATGATTGCAACACATCTTTGCTTTGCAAGCTGTCAGTTGCAAAAATTACAGATGCCACTTTAGGTCAAGTGTCGTTTGAAAGAAGAATGAGAAACTTTCCTTGATTGCTAAATCGTCAAAGCCCTATACTGTATTTTTACAATTAATAACTCTGTATATCAGTAAACAATTTAAATGCTGAATTAATTATACATTTTACACTTTTGTACCAATAAAAGCAATGAAGCTGAAGGTAACTATCAGAAACTCTATTGAATTTGCTCAAAGATATTTGCAGCAGTTTCAGGAAGCTCAGAAACTTCCTTAAATGCATATTAGAAACCAAATGAAATTTCATGTGTTGCAATCAAGCGGCAACCTCCCGCTCTCTCTCGTGAAACCAACATGGAATTAAACTGTAATCAGCTGCAAAAGGGAGTCAATCCCATGGACTCCCCATGTTAAAATGCCCAACTTTACAGCAGAAAAAAACATATTTACAGCCTGGTTCAAAAAATTATTTTGGTCTATATAGCTAATTTTGCCCTTCATGACAACTGTGAGGGGGCTCATCAGTTTAAATTATATTAAGCTGCTGCCCTGCCAGACAAAAAAAACGACGACAGCTGTGGTTAAACGCGATAATACGAGCAGACTGGACAGAAACAATCTCAAAAATGCTCGCGTTTGCAGCACACACTTCTTATCAGAAAAGGTTCAATAAAGTATTGTCTTTTGTTGTTTGTGTGTGTAAAACAACAAACTGATGATTTATATTTAATAATTTGTAATTGTATATGCATTGTTGTGATTAATTGTGGCTGGAACAATAATGTAGCTGTAAAAATAGTTGCCTGCTGAAATTGAAATGTATATACATCTTCATCATGACTAGATAGACACGGTGAGTTTGTCTTTACTATACACGTTAGATGTGATCCACCTCATAGTAACAATCCTGTCAAATCGTCCATCCTTTGAGTGAGAGTGTAACCTTACAGGTCGGCCGATCTGATTTAGTTGTTAAAGTGAACCTTTTCTACATGTTTCCGTGTTGTCGTTGCTCAGCAATAGCATGGACGCGATGTTGTCTGGGGGTTTGGCAAAAGGAGAGTGGGACTGTGGGCGGTGCTCGGGGTGGTGACTGAAGGCGGTGACTGTGTAGTTCTGACGTCAACTTTTTACGGAAGTCGCAACGGTTCGTCAAAAATCACAGCTACTTTATGCAGGCTGTGTGCATTTTACAAAGCCAGGAAATTTCAGGTTTGACAATATGGGACCTTTAAAGTTCTGCATAATTAAGGGTGTGGCCACTTGAGTGACAGGTGGATTGCTGCTGCTGACACTGCCGTCGAGCTAGGTGGGTGTGGCTTCAGCAACCAACTCCTGCCTTTTCGCCCATTTTCGATTATCCGGGATTGATGCGCTGCCAAGATGGCGATGGCCCGCTCCGCCCACTTTGAGCTTCAAAACCACTCTTCAGAAAACTACGGGTGACATCACGGACATGTTTTTATACAGTCTATGGTTGCAATCACCAACTATTAATGCTAGACACATAAAAGCTCAAAAATAATACATTCTTCTTAAGCATCTGAACTTAATATATAAACATTATCTTAAAAATTGTAATATTGTTGGGTGTAGTTAAGATTCTGTAGTTCCTTAACTTTTCAGCGCCTGTGAGTTAGAATAAAGTTCCTCCTCTCCATTCATCTGGTTGGGTGTTTCAATCTGGTCATCTCCATCCTGAAGGACTTCCCTTTCCTTCCCATCTCCTCTCCTGTCCCTCTTGATCTCAGCGTAGTCTGTGTCTGTAGGTTCTCTCTCTCCCTCCTCAGGCGCTCTGTCCTTTAGAAGGGAATAGTCGATGCTGGCATAGTCGACCTCTCCTGCTTCCATCCCGACTGCTTTGTCTACCTCTGCTCTGTCTGTCGGTTCAGCCGTGTTTGGGTTCCCTCCATTAAGCTGTCCATGAAGAGGTGTTTGCTCATTGGTTCCAGTCTGAGCTCCATATGTCTGTACCATCTGATACATACAAAATATATCTTTATTCTTTTGACATTCATTTATGGCAGAGAAGTCATTAGAGGATTCTGACAAGTGTAATTCTTTGCTATGACAATCTGGTGCTTCTGAATCAGCTACTGTTTTGTTATTAGTTTAAGTATTTGCTATTGATTGTTTGCTATGTGATTTGCGCATCGTGTGTGCGCGAGAGAGAGCGAGAGAGAGAGCGAGAGAGAGAGAGAGGGGTACCAGCTTCATCACTGTGTCTGTCACGCGACTCTGTTCCCCTTTCGGGCTCTGTCTTTACATTTATTTTGAAAGATGAAGCTCGCGATTATGGTAAGGGGCGTTACATTTCCGATGCGTGCTTGTGGTGTTCGGCCAATCACAATGCACTGGGTCAGCTGGCCAATCAGAGCAGACTGCGCTTGTCGGAAGGAGGGACTTTGTAGAAAACGAAGCGTTTGAGAGAGGCAGGGCATAGAGGACCTACAATAATGTACAGTATTTGAAAAATAATGAGTTTTTTTGAACATTAAAGCATGTCAACATATTCTGTTACACCAAATACACAAAATAATGATCTTTATAAAAGCATCATATGACCCCTTTAATATTCTCTGTTTTGCGTCATTCACATATGTTTTACTTTATTTAAATTACTATTGTATACATAATTGTGAGCCCCATCATTGATGTTAAATCTTGTGTGACATGTCATAAAATATAAATTTATATCAACTATTTTTATGGCACTGGCTTTTGAGAAACAAAAAAATCACATGTGTTACGAATGATATTAGGTTGAGTAAACAATGACATTCATAAAAGATGGGTAAAGTAATGCAATCCTCCAGAGTGACATTTTGACACAACAGCGTGAGATGTTTCCGTATGAGAGTGTGTTGAAACTAAAAGCGATAGTTAAACTTTACAAAATGTAAATATTATACTATATACACTGGTTCCTATATTCATATTCAATAATGCTTATTGATTCTGTTTTACCTCCAAATCGACTTTGGTGTCCGGATTTGCAGTTGGCACTTTGTGTTTGCCTCTGTTAAGAAAAGATTTTCAGCTGATGAGACATGGAGCAAACATATAAACTCTATAAACTATAAGGACAAATGTGGTTTGATGAAGTTTTATGCACCATTTAGGAGAAGAAGGAAGTAAATGATAGGCCTACCTGTGGCAAGACACCCAACAACACAAAACCATTGAGAAGATGAGCGCCGAACACACCATTCCCACAACAAATGTGAGTATCGTTGAGGCGTTCAAATTCTTAATGAAATCTTCTATACCTTGAATTTACACAGAATTGTTAGTAATATCTATAAACGTATATAGAAAATACCTGTTGTTCAGAGATGGGAGTATCAGATTTGTCCAAGTAGGACATGTTTCTGAAATATTTTGTCTTAGAACAACATTTAACACAATGTCTAACCATAAATTGTCTTTAAAATCAGAGAAAAGTGATAGTTTAATAAGAATTTTGTTCAGTCCTCAATGCCCAGCCCTGGTCCTAAACTTAACCATCTCCCAAACCTGCTCCTAATATCTGATTGGTTGACAGCAGTGTTGTTCTAGAACCCGTAAAGATGTCAAACAAGGAAAATGTCCTAATTGGCAAAATCATAATTGCCCTGAAATAAACATACGTTGTCTGCAGTATGTAAATTCTGAGTATTACCTGTAGTTTTTGTGGTGTTGTTCAGTGGCATGTTTTCACTTCCAGGACTGAAGGTCTTGTTCACTTTCAATTCATTTGTATCACCTAGCATGTGATGAATTTGATATTATAATTAGTAAAGACATATGTTTTGACTCTGCAAAGACGCAATGACCTTCCCAAATGTTTGAAGAATCTGTGTGTCGCAATTCAATATTTCAACAGTTGCCAACACATACATTTTCATTTCGTAATTTGTAATGTTGTAAGACTGTGACATTGTTACGTTATAAACATTTCATATGGAATCTGGTTCTACTTACGAATGACATCGATAGTGATGGATGCATTCAATGTCTTGTTCCCATATGTCCTCATACAGCTGTAAACCCCAGCATGCTGCTTTCCCACATTGGCAATTGTGAGATATTTTGTAGATGTTTGGTTCATGAATATATTTGTGATTCCACTGAAACTCCATACAGGATCAGATGATGGTGGGTGACTCTCAACAGTGCAGCTCAGGCTGAGAGTGTCACCTTCCCTCACATTGTCATTACCCAGAATTTGAGGAGTCTTTACATCTGAAAATGAGGAACTTCATTGTTTTTGACACCCTATTGACTGGTATGCAAGAAATAAATCCTTTTAATTCTACTTTTTGAATATCCCAGAGATACTCTACAGAACATCCAAGAAGAGTAGAAGATGGAAGTCTTCTAAACTGAACATTTTGCTGCATTTCTGAGTTTTACTTTATTTCTTGGTCTAGTAGTAGTTCTAGTAGTTAAAATGTAAATTTGTAAACTCACACATGACTTCGAGGGTCCTACTTGTATTGATGCCTTTGCTTCCGTAGCTCACTTCACATGCTACAGTGGCATTGTGCAAGTCAGAGGTTGGAGTTAAGGTCAACGTTGAGAGGTAAAGGCTTTTGGAGATGGTCAGAATGATGTTATCCTTTAGATCAGTGATGTTTTCCCCTCTTGTCTTGATCCACCATGTTATTTCAGGAGGAGTTTCAGGACAAGGAAAAGGAGCTGAACATGTCAGATTGGCCTCCTGTCCTTCACTGAGAAGAGGAACCTCCATTTTAGGCTCATCTGCAAATAGAGGTACACAACAAATGTTATACATTGCCAACATTTACCAAAGTCTAAATAATTAATTGAGTCATTATTTGAGTACAGATTCATATTATACAAATGAATTGCATATTGTACTAGGATGAAAAAAAAAGGCTCATAACAATCTAGCACATCCATGTGTTAAAGTTGCTTTAAGAAATTATGTCCTAACATTTGACATTATGAAATCATTAAAACATCAGAAGTGTGAGGTGTGAGCTCTGAAATACAATAGAGAACTGAAAGAGAACATCAGACTAGACAAAAACGTAGGACATGTTTAACATTGCCAGACATATTGTAAGTAAGCATTACCTTGGATGGTGATCTTAACTGTGAGGTTATATGTGTTTCGACCAGACTCCTCCAGTCTGAGCATATATTCTTTTTTATCTTCTGCTCTTATGTTTTTCATGATGATGCTGCAGTTGTTTTTGGTCAGATCAGATTCAAGCATCTCAATCCGTCCTGATTTAATTTCTTTCTTTTCCAATTTACCCACTTTCTCTCTTTCTTCTTTCACATTTCTTAAGTTGTATATTTCATTCTTACAGTTACCTTTTTTATTACACTCATTCCACCGAACATTAGGTTTTGCTTCATCTGGATAAGTGAAGGTACATGAAATGAGAGCACATAATCCTGCAACTGCAGTAACTTCTGGTGGATTGAAGGTGATGTTCCAGTCATTGTTTTCTTGGCCTTGAATAAAACAAGCACTTTTTTAAGCATTTTTAATAGAATCTACTTTTTAACATATTTAATATAAATATTTTAAGTTAAATGTAAAACAATAGAAACATCACAATATAAGATGTATACCTGTACACAACATATTTAATTTCAAAATAAAGAGGATTGTACATCTTGAGATGATCTGCATTTTAAATGTGTTCCACAAATCTGCACAGAAAGAAACAAAAACGTTACTTTAGCATTTAGGATTTCTAAACAAACTATACATTGCCTGCTATAGAACATATGGATATGGCACTAAAGCGAGAGAGCTTCTTACCGTTTTCTCAAGTCAACCTCTCCACAATGTTCTCAGAAGCTTTAGTTTTTCGAACTGCAGAAGCAGCACACAAGTAACAACGTATAAAATGCATCCTTCCTCTTGTCATGTTACTTCCTCTTTAAAATGCCTTATAAATGAGTTTGCACAAGCATGCGGCTGGGTTTTTTTGTATTTTAAAAATCAATATACATAGCGTAATATAGCATGTGGGAACGGGATAGCAGGATAAAAGAAAGCATCTTTGGCCAGAGATATAGAGAGCACAGAGGGAAGAAAACATGTCTAGTTTAAGATTTTTGATTTAAAAGAGGTAAAATAATTGATTCACTTTTAAATCCTGTTTCCGCTTGGTATTAATATGCATTTCATGTGGTCAAGTGGTCAGCCCAAAATACAGGCGTAAATCGTTTATAAAGTGTTTTGTGATCAGATCACCACATTGCATTTAGGCCTGTCTTTGATTAACTAATTGGACATACTTACAACATAGTGCTGTGAAAATGCAATTATAAAACGGATAGTTCGGGTCCTTGATTCTGATTGGCTGAGCCATGTTCGAAGCTGTTGTAAATTACTCTACAAACATGCACCTTTGTTTACGTTTGTGTGTTGCTTGGCAACCACAACCGATTCTGAGGAACTACATTGTTTTGCAGGAGAATCATGTTTTTATTAATATCATTACACTTTATTTGCTCTGTTTTATTTTGTGAAACCTTACTACGTATATGGAATAACCATTTTATAAAACTCAGCTTCGCATCATGCCTAGCAACGCGCCTTAGCTCTTATAAATTCACTGTAAACCACGGCTTCTTGGGGCTTATTGCTTTAGTAAAGTTTTTACTGAGCTTTATTTACACATTTTGTACTAGGGCTGGGTTTTGACACAAATTTCACAATTCGATTCTCATTCACAAGCTTGCGATTCGATTCGATTACGGATTCGATTCTATTCAATATCAATTATTTTGGATACATATCAGGTACAGTACATGCCAAATTTTTGCAAGGGGAAAAAATCTCTCAACTAATGCTGTAAAATATACATGAGAGTCAGTTGGTACTACATTAATATTGAAGGTTAAAAATGACTGATTTGTAGGCTAATATACAACTGCTAAAATTAAACTTAATGAAGTTTTTAAAATAATAAAGTTACAATTAGCTACATAATAAAACCTCTACTTCAATTCGTTTTTTGAAATATAAACATTTAAATGATGGCTTTCAAAAACTTGATGGATTTATTCAAACATAAATTAAACATTGAAGAACAGTAAAAATTATAATGAATATGTTATATGGTGCATATATTTAGCAAAATGCCCCTCTCTACAGTTTATTTTACTAGCTTACTAATGAGTTTATGGTCACTGAATATGTTTTTCTGAGGTAAATGTGACGTTACATGACATTGTTTACAAGCTATTATATTGATGTCTTTGCGCAGCTGAAACACAGATTGAGTGATTACATAATGATTACATTACATGTTTACGGTACATAACCACTGTACAATTTACTATGTCAGAAAAGCCATATGGAGCTGATTATGTGTTATTTACAAATCATGCACTATGGTACAAGTGTTTTGAGGAGCTGCATGAAAATAAGTCTTATCAACAGTCTGCCCTTGTAATTAATTTCAGCGACAAACTCCAGTGAATTGTAGGCATAGGTACATTTTTGGAGTTTTGCAAAAATTTAACTAGAGACACTTTTTTTTTTCCAATGAGTCTATGTTGCGAAAATGTATCATGACAAACGTTGAATGGCTTGAAAAACTTTCCCTGAAAGTGAAACTTAAGATAAACGTTTATTTCATCTTGCAGGCTTTTGGTGTGCAGAACAGGAATATAATGAATGTGACAAGTTTTAGTGATCAAAAATGCTACCGGACTCAAAGGTCCATCAGTGATTAAAACATATATCAGCATCTAAAAATGGTAACATGCACTTCCAAATTAATTAAAAAACAGCAGCAACACATGTTTCAGTTGTCAGGATATGGTTCTCTTACCTATGACGGGTGCTCTTAAGGGCTCTCTGGTCTTACTGAACGATGGTGCATGGTTAGAAGCCTGACTCTGCAGATTTCTTCAGAAAAACTGATGGAGGTTATATTAAAGATCACCCTGTCGGCTGCCTCAACCACTGTCCTGTAAGCCACTGGAACACTGGCCTTCAGTAAGGTGTATTTTATTGGAAACGTTCCATTTTCAGCCTCACATGAAACCCTGAATGGCTTACCAACAATCACCTTATTAACAGCACGAAGAACTGGGGCAGAAACGGGCACTGGAAAAGAGAGTAGGAAAAATGAGAAGCATGCACAAAAGAAAATGTGCTCTTGCAGCGCACCATATCAATTGAAATAAATAAATTTGTGTTGATTCTATACACTCTTAAAAATAAAGGTTCTTTATTGGCATCTATTGTTTCATGAAAGAACCTTAAACATCCATGGAATCTTTCCATTCCACAAAAGATTCTTTATAGTGGCAAAAGGTTCATTAGATTGTTTAAATGTTCTTCAGACTAAGAAAAAAAATGGTTGATTTGAACTGTTCCCTGAAAGTTTATATGAGGAACCCAGCATGGTTCTTCAAATGCATCACTACAAAAATCCCCTCATGGAACCTTTATTTTTAAGAGTGTAGTGTATTGGCACTATTGTAAGTGACTGTATTGCTAGTTTATCAAACAGCTTTTGTTATTACTGTATTATAACACATAGAAATAGCAAAAATGTTATGTTATAGCAGTCAGATAGTAATATAGATAATATATGCATGTCCCCGAGTGACAGAGCTTTGACAAAAGCAGAAACTCATCACCTTTAGCCTTTAAAATGAGTGATAAGCTGGTCTTGTTAACTTCTTTAGCCATGGCCATACAGTAGTGTAAGGATGGTTTCCCTACAGTGGTTCAGGCTGTAGGATTGCCGAAGGACTAAAGAAACGTTATCAGCACGATGGTATAAAACTGTACATTTCTAGTCTATTACCACCCACTGCCACTTATACCAATGACGGAAATAAGTGCAGTTAGAATAGCTAAATATGTGGGAGAGCGTTGCTATTGAGTGACTATATTGTATTGCAATAGGTAGCACTTCAAAGTTAATGTTGAATTAAGACTAGTTAGCACATAAGTAATAATTTAAATGGTTTAATAACAATATTTTGTCATGGTTACACTTGAATTAGTTACGAGATCTTCATCAAATGGTGTTGCACCCTTCATAGATATGCAAAACTCCCATTGAATAATTCACACCTCCACAACAGGCACTGAACATGGTAGAATCTGCTTGTCCCGCTTTCTGAGGCAGGACACAGGATGTGAACTTATGCAGCAGGAATCCTGT